TTGCAAATAGTGGCCATTGTCGTCCCTCTACTTCTCTTATTATTTAAAATATTTTAATAAATTTATAAAGTAAACTAAATTTATAATAATAATAATAATAATAATAAGGGTTAAAGCCATCTGTCGTCCCTCTACTTTCATTTTTTATTCATGTCCGTCCTTCTACAAACAAATTGTTCATTGTCATCCTTCTACTTTGCAAATAGTGGCCATTGTCGTCCCTCTACTTCTCATTTTCTATTGAAGGTCGTCCTTATTTGGACGTCGTTGTTGGAACCGTTTGTTTGACCATTAAGATGCAAACGATCAATTGTTAGCTCAATATTTAAGTACTTCTTTTTCATAAGTCTGACGAATGGGGACCACATGTTGCAAAAGCTTTTCTTTTTCATTTTTTTTCATTCTCTTCCCCTCATCATTTTCCCCTAAGCTCATCCCTTCTATTTGTAAAACCCCAAGGAAGAAAAGCAAGAATGGTGGTGGGAGTGATCGAAGCAATACAAGGAGAGAATTGGGGTCGTGATGTAAGATGAGATAGTGCTAGACATTATCTAGGAGCAAAGAACGAAGGATATAGAGGTTGAGAAGGAAAAGAGAGTGGTGACAAGTCCTAGGTTCAACTTTTCTATTGCTGGTTTTTTGTTTCCTTATCATCTTGGGGTTGCTCATTATCTCATTAAGAAAGGTTGCATTAACATTTGATACTTCGAATTTTATTTTAAAGCTTTCATTTTTTTTAGGTGAAATGAGGAAATAACAATGCATATATGGGGAATTCAACCCCAAGCATATTAGCCAAAAGAAGGAAATCAAGGCCATAAAGTTTCTTGTTTAAATTTGAAATGGATGTATTGTGCTGGAGTTTTGCTACCATATTGGTTATCTATAGTTGTTTTCATCTACTATTTGTCCAATTTTAATTACACTTCTCTTAATCTGAGTTTGTGCCTTTGGGATCCATTTCTGCAATTTCTAGTTGGGTTTACTAATTTCACACCGGAGCTCTTGATTTTCAAGGGTATTTAAAATATATAAAAATATAAATATAAATATAAAATAAATACATATAAATAAAGTGCTCATGCATGAATACTTACTTAATTGGTAGAAATTGTTCAGTAATCCTATGATGCAGTTTGTACTAATAGAACTAAATTGTAGTTTACGAATTAAAATAGAGTTTTGTCTATACATTATGGGGTGTTTGTTAGGATAATCCACACCAATTCCTTTATTTTTTGTTTGTTTAATAACAATATCAAGGTTCTTGTCATTCTATTTGCACCCTAGTAATTTACATGAGATCTCTATTATTATGTCAATCATATTTTCCCAACACACAAACTATAGAGGTTTGTCTATACATATATGGGATGTTTATTTAACAATGCACCCCCACGGCTTTATTTTTTGTTCATTTCAATCTTTATGTTGAAATGGGAGAAAAAATATGAAAGGACTTGTTTAGATTTTTTTTTTTTTTAAAGAAAGGAGCTTTTACAGCATGTGGTTCCTACTGGTCAAAATGATGCAAAAAAAAGTACTTAAATATTGAGCTAACAGTTGATTGTTTGCATTTTAATGGTCAAAACAAACGGCCCCAACAATGGCGTCCAAATCAGGATGACATTCAATAGAAAATGAGAAGTAGAGGGACGACAATGGCCATTGTTTGTGAAGTAGAAGGATGACAATGAACAATTTGTTAGTAGAGAAGGATGGACATGAACAAAAAATGAAAGTAAAGGGATGACAGATGGCTTTAACCCCTTTTTTTTTAATGGTTTTCAGTTATACCAATAAAAGTTACTTTTTATGCTTGTTACATCTTTCGAACTCAAAACCTCTTCCATAGTTAAAGGAAAGATCGTCGATTGACAACATCAGTTGTTCTCTTTTTTTCCTTTTTTTTAATATTAATTTGGACCTCTAATTTACAGATTTATATTAAAATTATTTTTTAACATTAAAAATATTAAAATTATCCTTAAATTTTTATTTTTGATACCAAAATAATTCTTTTATTAACAAAAATACCATGTGACTTATTATCTTATAAAAAATCAATATTTTTTTTATAATTTTAATGATATATAAAATCAAATAATTATATTTTATCATCTTAGTATATTTTTATTTCATATCAGAATGATATGTAATTAAAATTGAAAGAATAAATTTGCATTTGTTATCAAAGTTAAGAACTAAAGTAGTACTTATTTTTAAAGTTCATGATTAAGTTAGTATTTATTTTTAAAATTTAAAGAATATTTTGATATTACAAATTAAAATTTATTAATAATTTTAATATTTTTTAAAATTAAAGGATAATTTTGTTACAAATATGAAGTGGAGTGATTAAATTAATATTTTAACAAGAAGAAAAACGCCCTACACCTAGGAAAGAACGTTTTGTCAACATATGTTTGTCTTTTTCGTTGGCCCACCATATTACTTGTCTCTGAGTGGCTTCTGAGCTCTTGCAGAAGGTTTTTCTATCAAGAATCAAGATCAAGCAGTCGCATTGTTTCTGCACAATGACAATTCTGTCTTTCTTCAGCAGAGCTTCAAGGGCTTTCAATGGCTACCTTGCTTCCTCTAAGCTTCTGCTTCTCTGTACAGTAAGGTTCCCCCCTTTCACTGTACAGCTAATCACCGACTTCTATTTTCTTTCTTTTTTCTTTCTTTTTGTCTTCTGCTTGATTGTTGACTCAACCTAGACGGAAGGTAGGGAAAACGGTATGATCTTTTGTGTCTTTTTTTATGTTTCTTATTTGGGGAT